TAATATCTAAATTGGAGCTCGGTTCTGTTGTTAATGTGGGTTCGTAATTCGCCAGTAGATCGGTAGTCCGTACTTCAATAACTGGAACGATCAAAACTTGGACGTAACACTGACAAGAGCAATGTTTCCGTATTTCAGCTGCTGTTGGTCTGTTGCGCGCATTTTTTGTTGCAGGAATATCACGTGTTCTCATGTTTAGGCGTTCTTTTACTGAAGCAAAACCATAAAATCCTTGCGAAAAACATTGAATTAGCTCTCTCTGTCTTGTAGTGCACACGTTCTATTGATTGTCGCTTCGCAGCTTGGCAATCGCTTTTATTTTGAGAAAACATTTGTCTAGTTTGGGTGAACTTTGGGAATAACTTTCGTCTAGGGCGCCCTCATCTGTCTGCCAGGAAGCAAAAAGAATTGTGAGCAGATTTAATCAGGATCATAGATAGATTGTGACATACCGGTGTCCTTGCTCCTAAACTTTCCTCAAATTTTGGAGACTTTGATGATACTGACGCGCATATTAGGTCGATTTCTTACAGGTTATCTCGATCAATTACGAAATATAAACTGTATAGTTCATTGTATTCTATGACATTTCAGTCGATTAAGTCAGTAAGTCAGTAACAACGTTGAACTTCGTACGTACGTACGTCAGTTCGAGTTGCCACACCACCTCAACACAGAGATGCAGTTGTCGATCCAAATCCCGTAGTGGTAGAGGTAGCAAGAGTGTAAGCAGTGATCGGGAAGATTAGGGTTTGGAGATGTTATTTAAAGAGTATAATTCAGTGAAATAAATTTGGGAAGAGGAAAAAAGTGACATGAAGAATTCAGAAGATTAGAATTTGGGAGAACACAAAGAGTGGATGCACCTGCGCCATTGCAAACGATTTTGAGCCATGTCATTCAAGGTCTCTAACCATCGGTTGCTATCATCTCGCGGTCCCCAACCAGGTAGTGTACACCTATCAACATGACTCAGACCACTTGTCAGTGACTTCATGGACTTGAGCCATGTTTTGTTCTGGCAACCCCTAGCTTTCTTCCAACCTACTCCTATACCACTGAACATCGCACGTCGTGGCATTCGGTGGTTGGGCATACATAACACGTGTCCCAGCCATCTCAACTGATGAAGTTTCACTACTTCATCAATTGATTTGCCATCCTTACCTAGTACCTGTTTCCTAACAACTGCATTACTTACTCGATGGTCCCATGATATACGAGCAATGTTTCGAAGACACCTATGATCGAATACTAGTAACCTACGAATATCTTCTACTCTTACCGGCCATGTTTCACTGCCATAAAGTAGGACGGGACGTACTGCTGTGCAGTAAACCCGTCCTTTGGTTGATAGACGGATATCTCGCCCACGCCATAAATGACGCAAGTTGGCAAAAGCTAGTCGAGCCTTCTGTATCCGTGCTGAGATTTCGTCACACACCAGACCACAAGGGCTGATGAGACTTCCAAGATAAGTGAAGCGGTCGACACACTCAACTACTTCACTCCCTATCACTAGTTTGGGTGTCGATGTAACCCAATCCTGAAGCAACATTTTGCATTTCGAGGGAGAGAATCGCATCCCGAACACGCTCGCATTGTTGCTTAGAGTGGTCAGAAGGCTCTGCATTTTGTCAGCGTCTTCACCAAATAAAACTATGTCATCAGCATATTCTAAGTCAACAAGTGAACCTCCCGGTAGAAGTTCAACCCCTGGAAATTTAGATGAGGAGAGTGTTATCTCTAAAAGTACGTCGACCACAAAGTTGAACAAGAATGGAGAGAGTGGACAGCCCTGACGAACACCACTTGATGTAATCAATTCTGATGACAGTTCGCCATAAGCTCTCACTCTACCAGTTGTGTTCGAGTAGAGAGCCTGAATAAGTTTAATGTACTTCTTTGGTACTCCTTTCAGTGACAAACACTGCCATAGAACCTTACGATCAACAGAGTCGAATGCCGCCTTAAGGTCGAGAAATACTACCATTGTGGGGCGTCTAAACGTGTATCTGTGTTCTAGAACCTGACGTAGTGTGAATATCTGGTCTGTACAACCTCGTCCAGGTCGAAAACCGGCCTGGTTTTCTCTAATCTGCACTTCACGAGCTTTGATTAGGCGTCGAAGTATTATTGAGGCTAATATTTTAGACACTATATTAGTCAAACTGATCCCTCTATGATTGTCACAAGAGGACTTTTGTCCTTTCTTATAGACTGACACAATCAGTGATTCAGACCATTCAGATGGGATTACGTCCAGTTCCTAAATTCTACCTAAAACCTCGGTTAATCTCATTGCTAATACTGGACCACCATCCTAAAAAATCTCAGGAGTAAACCTGTCAGGGCCCGCTGCTGTCCCTCGTTTCAGATTTCCTATGGCTGTTTCAACTTCGTTAAGAGACGGAGGACCTGCATTAGCTTGCCATTCAGGTTGACTGGGGATCGTGAGAAACCGAAGTGTGGCTGAATGCCAGTTGAACTGATCAGTCGATTAAAAATAGATAACTCTTATACCTGCCATTAAAACAGTTATTTCATTACCTAGACGAAGTCAGTCAGTCAGCTACAACGTAGGACCAGGCACATATATGCATTTGTCCAGGTTGCCATACCTCGTTAACACAGCAAGATGAACACCGGATTCATGGTAGGGGTTAGGTTAAAGGTGGTAATATATGGGAGAAAGATTGCATATAAGGATACAGTACCGGAATATAGAATAAGTTCGTAGAAAGAAAGATATTAAGCGACATTAATCTCTTAGTTTAAGGGAAGTCAGGGAGTGTATACACCGACGCCATTGTGATCGATTCTGAACCATGTCACCAAGAGTCTCCAACCATCGGTTACGAAAGTCACGCGGACCCCAACCAAGTAGTCTGCATCTACCAACATGGCTCAGACTAGGGGTTTGTGTTTCCAAGCACTGATGCCACGTTTTGGTTTGGCCGCCCCTTATTCTCTTCCAACCATCTCTAACATCCGTTAGCTTTGCACGTCGTGTTAATCGGTGTTCAGGCATACGTAACACGTGGCTTAACCATCTCAGTCGATGAAGATTAACAACCACATAAACTGATTTACCATCATTACTTAATACCGTGCGTCTAACCACACTATTAATTACCCGGTGATCCTAACAGACGCCAGCAATATTTCTAAGGCATCTGTGGTCAAATACTAGTAGCTTACGAGTGTCTTCTACTCTTAAAGGCCATGTTTCGCTGCCGTAAATTAAGACAGAATGTACTGCCGCGCAGTATACTCGTCCTTTTATTGATAGACGGATATCTCGCCTTCGCCAAAGGTGACGTAAGTTGGCAAAATCCAAACGAGCTTTTCGAATCTGTGCTGAGATTTCGTCCGATACCAGCCCACAAGGGCTGATCAGACTTCCAAAATAAGTGAAGTTGTCCACGCTTTCGACTACTTCACTCCCCATCCTTAGTACAGGTGTTGACGCAGACCAGTATGGAAGCAACAACTTGCATTTAGAGGGAGAGAAGCTCATTCCAAACATTCTGGCATTGTAGCTTATTGCTACCAAAAGACTGCATCTTATCAGCGTCTTCACCAAACAGGACTATATCATCTGCGTATTCTAAGTCGATAAGTGGACCTCCTGGAAGGAGATCAATGTCTGAGAATTCAGTCGACGAGAATGTTATTTCCATCAGTAGGTCTATGATGAAGTTAAACAGAAATGGAGGAAGTGAACATCCTTGACGGACACCACTTGAGGTTGCAAAACTATGTGAGGGCTTGTTTTGTGACGCGGTTGGGTGCCTTACTCAATGTGTGTCCTATCCATTTCCAAAGTTTCTTCCTGATTTCTTCCTCCGCTTGAAATGTTGAACCAAGCTACCCTAGTTGTTCGTATAATGTTCTCTTTACTAGTATTCTTTTGATGGGATAAAATGAACAAAGACAAGTATATTGGAATTCATGTATCGAAAATCTGATGAAAAAAAGTGTTTGCAGCATCTGAACTGAACCATTAGACCATTGAGCCGGCATGCAACGATGTAAAGTCTAATTTCAGCCAATTCATGAAATCGCGCTACCATCACAATTGCCTCCAGTGAGTTGATGCGCACTGCTGAGGAGTCTTTTAACAGGACGAAACGACCTCCGAGTGCTTCTAGGTTTTCTATGGTGGTCTGGCTTCAATCGACTCGTGATTTGAATTATTAAAACTACTGAAATATCCACAAAACCCCTCCTGCAAAAAATATTTCTTCGATTCGTGTACTAACCTATGTTGGATAAATAGTGAAAACCTGGAATCTCTGGACATTTATTTCGTCCTGATTTGTTACTCATCAGCAGTGCGATTCCAAAACCTCAACGATGATAGGGTCAAAGGTTTTCAGGTCTCATCGGTAACTTCGTAAAGCTGTCCGGAATTTCTTGTGAAAGCTGGAACAAGCGGATTTCAACGTTATGGGATGTATAACAATTATTGGCAATGAATGAAGGTATTGGTTTTCGCTGACTTATTGAAATTAGACACAAAAACTATTGGACGCTGGCCTGTAGGTAAAGTTCTTGCCAAGAGACTTAAAGATCTTGAGTTTGATCGTCTGTAACGCTTGATCATAAATGAATAATAATAATAATTTATTCTCAAATAACAGTTTGTTACATGAGGCATGCCAGTTTACAGGCAAGATCAAATTGATACAAATGATACAATATACACTGTAATAAATTACATAGCTGGGTTGATAACTTATAAGATATGAATGTCGGTAGTTTGAATCAGTACCAGAGTTGGCGCGCTTCATGAAAGTTGCGTTGCGAATGTGCGACTGATGGTCAAGGATAGGTCCACTGAAGGTATGAGCTTTTAGAAATCGCAACCTTATTTCCTTCTGGGATATCCAAGGCTTTAAGGATGGTGGAGGATGAAGTCACCAGTTCCATATCTCAAGGGGGATGAAAGAGGGAGCAAGTAAAAGAAAACACGAGAGGCAGAGTAGCCAATATTCATGAAGGAATGTTTAAGGTATGATTACTCAGTCTTATTTTCCTTTATTAAGGTATATGTTAAGAAAGAGCGTTTTAATAGGCTAAAGAAAATAAGTGTTGACAAGGTGTGAGTGGACATACAACTGACAAATGGGGGCGATTCGGAAAAGAGCTGAGAGTATAAGATTATGTGTGATTATAAAATAAAATATAGTGCTAGAAACAGTATTGTGATATACATTTGGCTGTCTTCCCTTTAATATCGAAGCTATTAGAGCCCCTTTCGTTTTTTAAAATATTTTTTCCACAGTTATTATAGGGTGTTGATTAGGCTTCGTATATTAGCGAATTGTCTAGTTTGCTTGTAATAGGATTTCTGGGTAGGAAGTGAAACCAATTCAACGTTCGTAACACGACTTTTTGCGTGAATAGATCAGCTTCAACACCATAAGTTCGTGGCATCCCACTAAACCATAAGGAGCCGTAATTAAACAAAATGTTCTGCCCTACAGACATGGGTGGATTGAAGTTATCTCCCCACCTTCATGTTTGCTGGTCAGTAACGCCACCCTCCCTCCTTTTGTGATGTTAGGCTCTCTTACGTTTGTGGTAAGTATGAATACTGCTTTAATCAAAGCCCATAGTTGGAATACACTGTCTCTACTAGGTCCATGTTACAAGCCAATCAAAAATTTGTTTTATGGGTTAGATGTCCACATAGTATATCACACTGCTATGAAACTAACTAATGGTTTAAAGAAGTAAGGACTAATAGCAAATCAAAAGATATAAGAGGGTATAAAATCGTAGAAAAAAAATTTCAGGGTAAGACAAATAAAACATTGAGAAACTCACAAGACGTTGTGGCCAAATTTTGAACTTTGAATGGTCGGCCTTAGTAGATCAGCATTCATAAGATTGAGCTATCTGTCTACTTGCGGTGGAATAAAAAAAAGGCATGACTTTTAGGAAGAATAATGTACATTTAACCTGTAGAGATTTGGGAACTGAAAGCTAGGGTTAGGAGCATGAAGTCATGATTAATAAACAATGAATAATAGGAAAGGATAAGCCATATGTTCTGTGATTTGTTTATATTCATATTAGTAACAGTCGGACTTGTTATAATTTTGTTCTTTCTAGATACTAGGCGGTCCGTAATAAAGTGCCTCATTGGTGGGCGGGAGTTCAAGGAAATGTTGAAGCTCTTTGGAGTCTAGAAATAGGGTTATTAGCCTTTTGAATCTGATAAACGTATCACAATTACGGATAGGCATTGGCAGCCTGTTCCACAATAAAGTGTACCGTACTGTAAAGAACTTACAACGCATTTGTTTTTGGTGTTTTACGGTAAGTAGTGTATATGCGTTGTTTCTAAGTCTATAGGCTGGGTCGTGGGTAGTAGTCGGGCAGGAGGTTAGAAAGGAGAGCCCATATATCGCTTTGTAGAGAAATATTAAATTGTTTTTTAGCCTACGGTGCCATAAAGGTTCTAAAGATAGATGCTTACATCTGTCTGTGTAATCGAGATTCGAGGTACATCCTAGTAGTTGACGTGTGAAACGTCTTTGAACATCTTCTACTCTTATCTTGTCTGTGATATTCATATTAGAGAATACAAAAGAGCAGTATTCAAGGGAGGGTCGTACACATATTTTGTAGAGAGTAAGTTTACCCTCTGTTGTGAAAAAGTTTTTCATTATAAAGCCAATTAGCCGTCTAGATTTAGAAATAATAGAGGAGGCATGTTCTTCAAAGTTCAGGCTTCCTGTGTAATTAATTCCTAAATCGCGTACTGATTCGAGTGTTTGGACTCTACTTTCATTTAAGGGAAGTTGCGGTTTATAGGGATGCTTTCCAAAGTGCATGATCCCGCACTTGTTGAGGTACAATTGTAATTGCCATTTTTCACTCCATATAGTTAAGTTATTGAGGTCCTTTTGGATCTGGGATACACTTTCGCTTAGTGTCACAGGCTTATAGCTGTATACTATTTTGAGATCATCAGCATATAAGTATGGTCTCCCAAATTCTATGGTGTTACATATATCGTTTATATACATAAGAAACAAAAGTGGACCTAATACGCTTCCCTGGATGACTCCACTGGTGATTGGTCTGGGGGACGAGAGACAGTCATTGTATTTTACCATCTGTTTACGTTCTGTTAAGAACGAAGCAAACCGTGAGTACAGTGGGTTGTGTATTCCGAAGGACTTTAGTTTGACGAGTAGCCTTTTGTGTGGGACCTTATCAAAGGCTTTCTTAAAGTCTAGGAATAGAACTGATACAAGGAGTCCGCTGTCTCGTTTCATAGTTATATCATTCAGGTAGTCTACTAGGCATGTATCGCATGATCTGGACCTAAGAAATCCATGCTGGGAGGTCGAGATGAGATTATTAGTTATTAGATGTTGGACTACAGCCGCCTTAACTACTTTTTCCATCACTCTGGATACCACTGAAGTTATGTTTATAGGCCGGTAATTTTCAACGTTTGCTTCAGGTCCTGTTTTAATTTTGGGAATGATATGTGTAGTTTTCCAGGCAGTGGGGTAACACGCTGAAGAGAGTGATATCGCGAATAGTTTGAGAAGCAAAACACACATATCATCACCTCCACGTTTTAGCATGCTAGATGGAATACCATCTGGTCCATCAGTGTATGAGTGTTTCAATGTACTGATTGCCTTGGAGATATTTTGTACACTGAATTCTACATTAGTAATTTCACAGGGAGTTACTGGGATTGGTTCTGAATCATTAAATGGTTTTTCGTTAGTTAGTGAGAAACAAAAATGTTCACTAAATAATTCTGTGACAAGTTTAGGATCTTCGTATACTTGTTTGCCTTTAATGAATATACTCCCTCTCGGTTCAGAGCGTTTAAGTTTATTTTTGAGTAGTATGGTGAGTGCAGAGGAGTTATTATTAAGTTCAACTGCACGTTTTTCCTGTGCTACTGCTTTTTGTTTACTTATTTCCTCTGTTCGGACAAGTATTTCTGTCATCGTTACTAAAGAGGAAAAGTCATTTAAGTTGTGGAATTGAGTACAATGTCTTTGAAGACGTCTTCTTGTACTGACCGGTATATAGAGATCTTTGGAGAACGCAGGTTTACAGTATTCTAAAGGTGCGATTTGTTGATGATACTTTTGATGTTGTGATAAAATATATTGGTTAATGTGTCGGTATTGTTTGAGGTAAAGAAAGTTCCCCAATCAGTGCTTCTTAGGTAATTGTGGATGTTATTCCAATCAACCTTGCGATAGTTTCTACGAAGTGTTACGGTTTTGCTTCTATTGGTTGTGGTTTTTACATTAAGGCTGCATATGACAATGTTATGATCACTACCTGGGAACTTTTTTCCAATATACAAAGTATTGGGGATGAGGCCACTGGTAAAGAATGATATTGTCTGGCAGTGTAGTCCAGTACACGCCTATCATCTCTTTTGGGACTCGTCAGAGTTGATGTTCACTCTTGAACTGGACCCTAGTACTGTTCGCTTCAAACGCCATCGCGTTATCCACTTGGCTTCTGAGTCCTGATAGCCACTTGGTTGTACAATATGAAAAATTTAAATTTATTTTGTATTGCCTGTTTTAGTCTTCTTAATAAGTGACTGATCAACTACAGTATCAAAAATTAATGCTAAAGTGGAAAATTATTTGGATTATGATACTGGATTTAATAATCACCCAGGGAAGGTATGTAACATTTCAAAAATCGATTGGGTTGAGGAACTGAAGGACACGTTACATACAATGATTAGTAACATGGTTTTACCTAAGATCGATATGATGTACTTAGATGGGCAACCGGGTCAGTATTACTGTTTCATTAGTCAGTTTAATAGACTTATAGGGTGTAAATTGACGTATTTGTTATACTATCGTAAGGGAAAGGCCAGGATGGCTATTGAAGCTTGCATTTCATTGCCTATTCATTTGGGCTATGATAGAGCTAAACAGATTTTGTATGACCTGTTTGGTAAGGAACACCTTGTTGCTCACGATATGATTACTGAGTTACTTAACCACAAATCTGTTGAAAAATCAGCCGATGGCTTAACTGACTTCGCAAATAAGCTACGTAATGTATGCATAACATTGAAGGAAATGGGGTATATGTCTGATATGAATTCTCCGGCTAATTTGGAAAGAACTGTGTCATGTTTACCCCTAGAATTACAGAATAAGTGGGTGGAAGTTGCCGATAAGATCATAATCACCGGTAGGGCGAAGTCGTACTGATGACTGTAGAGAGGTTTGACAGCAGTAAGGTGTTTCCCTCAGACAACCAGCATGACAGCGATGCTGTCTTACCACAAGGGGGGTGTGGTTAGAAGAGGTCGACCCTAAAAATGTCACACCTCACCTTACCTCACGGATTTCCGTCTCCGGCGGTAAGGCCCTTTGAAAAACGGAGCTAACTCGTCAAAAAACTACCACAAAAAGGCCGTGCGCGACCGGCCTCAAGCAGTTGTCCCTTAGGCTCTGCGGTCACGCTCCAAGGTCGTCAAGACCAACACTAATCCAATTTCCTTTTCAGGTTCCTCAAGAAATACCCTTCCACGGTGTGGGCAGCCGGGAAGTGACATCAGCACTCATACCCGTAACCGCACACGATACCAAGTTGGTCACATTCGAATCCTTCCTACACCTCCTAATACCTCTCTTATCTCCATGACTAACCCTCCTCACATCTGTTTATCACCTTGCACCGCTAAGGCAAATGATTCGAGTACGTGGAACTCGATTCCTGGTCTCCTGAAACCACGCTCTAAACTACACATTGGAGCTTTTAACGTACGAACACTGTGCAAAATAGGACAGCAGGCTTCCTTAGCTAGGACTTTAGAATCTCGCGCCATCGATGTGTGCTGCGTCTCCGAAACGCGCATACAAGATCCGAGTAGCGTCATTCATCTGACCTCAACATGCCAAAATAAAGAACCGACTCGATTTACGCTTCGTGTATCTGGAAGCCTTGATTCTGCTTCTCTTGGCTTCGCCGGCGTAGGTACAGCAT